ATCTGTAGGAGACAACCCCAGGGTTGAAAATGCTCCATGTAATCAGCCCCTAATTAACCCATTAAAACTTTGATGTACCCTGATTTGATTTGATTTTTGTTGAATACCAGATAATATAATATCATGGCCTTTAATTCACCAATCTTGGTATGAAAATCGAGTGACCACAAAAAATATTTACATGCAATATACCACTTTTGGAACAAAATAACTTAAACAAGCATAGACCATTTTCATATGATAGTGAAAAACTTAAAGATTTTTTTTGCATTTTAAATTGCTTTTTGAGCCTTGGACCTCCTAGGTTATCTTGAATTTCTTCTACTTTCCATATTTGCATGTTATCTAAATCTGCCATCAGTTTTAATTTCAATACTGGACACACCAGCCACCTCGCCAGCCACTGAACTAACGTGTGTAATTCGAAGCTTGTAGGTTGTTTATCTGGTATTTATACGTTGAGAATGCGACGCTCAGCCTTGGGAACTTCGTGTTTATTGTAGGTACTGTAAATTTTCAGTGGTACGCTACCAGTTATAAAATCTTTCGTTCGGGGTCTACAGAAGATAGATATTTAATAGACATGGGATATGTAAATATGCAAATACAATGCCCTCTTTGTTTACATCTGTCACACAAGCGCATGCATAAAATGCAAAATTTACAATGGCTTCAAATGACGCTCACAAAGGAAAATCTTATTTGTTTCTGAAGATCTACCGTCTTTTCTCTAGTCCTTTAAAACAATTCGAAGCCATTCTTCGCGAGCATTTCTCTTCTTGTTCACCATCGGCTGTAGTCTCCTACGCAGACTACATCGGCTGCGCCAACAACACTCAACAGGGATTTTAAAAATTGCAAATTCACGCGTTCTCCTGGTCGGACAGCCATACAAAGCACAATTAGAGCCAACCATACTGTTCAATATTACTTCAAACGTTTAACCGTATCCTGACATATTAAAACAACGGCAAAAATACAATTATCCAAACGCGGTGTATAAACAAAGCGTTCGTCCCCTCGATCATAAACTGTTCACGACGCTCGCTTTCTTCGATATTTTCATCTCCAACGTTCAAAATAGGTTCGTATGTTTGTTCGCTTTCTGTTTCAATTTCCATCTTGATCTCAGAAGCCCTCTAGCGCTTTGAAATATGATCTTTTGTTGGCATATTATGTTCTCACTCATATGTTTTCCTAATCACTCATCACAAAGCACCCCCTTTCCTCGTCACGTGACCAAAAATAAAAATGAACAATAACATATTTGTCACGTGGTCCAGCTAGCCTAACCATCTAGTTCTATTAACCGTGGTTTAACAGTGAACCCATATTGTGAACTGCAACTCTGAATAAATATTGGTAGACGTGGACAACAGATAATTTATCTGGAGACATAATAGTTATTTTATTTGATTAGATGATGTTCAAATTGGTCAGTTAATTAATTCTGGTGGTATGCCTGCGAAGATTACCACGATTATGAACAGCCTTTGATGTGCTGAGTACTGTGCATGTACATTTCGTTTGGCATGCAAAGTTCACTTATTGAACCATTTGGGTGATAGGCTTTTTATTGACTATTATACACCCGTAATTATGAAACTAATATGTAGATTGGTTTGATGCCATTTTCGTTCTCCACTCCTTACCCGCCCTGTACGCGATTTGTTTCCACACTGCATAAAATTGTTGGCAGGAATTATTTCATTATATTAATATTAATAGGTGAAAACAGATATGCATACCTGTTGATTGCTTTTCAATGCATTCCACTGAGATTTTCCTCTCAGAAACAATTTTTCTTGATCAGATCTGTAGGAAAGCAACCCTTCTATCTTTGGGAGATTGTTCATAGATCTGTTACTGGAAACAACGACAACCTGTATTTCAACCTTAGGTTTAGGCAATTCCGGTGCAGCGCTCTGCGTACAGAAACCCAAAATACGTTTATTTTAGTTTTCATTTTGACCCCAATATTACTTACTAAAACGGGAAAATATATATTCTGTAAAAATTAATATAGGATACATGTCTTAAAGCAGTAATGTCAATGGTTATATAGGTAGAAAATGACGTCATTCGATAGATATGACCCATAATATAGAAGTTCACGCGACTCTAAGATAAACACAAAAGACATGCTACATAAATGTAAAATATACGTCTATGTCTAGCGAATCAATATATATGCCATGGCTTTAAAATCAGTATTTCCATTGTCTGACCAACATTGTCCAACATTGCCTGCACTGTTTGCCGTCACAACAAACTTGCAGAACCTGCGCGAAGTAGAATAACTCCCAAGACCAATAAAAGTATCTGTTGTAGCGCAGTTATTCTCGTTGTTACCCAAGAGACCCAATCTAATGTTGACATACTTTGTTTTAATATTGAAGCCTTCTCGGTTGCAATGCGATTGCAGGGATGAGCCTGCGATCAAGGATTTCCATGTCTTGCGACCAAGACTGGTTGAACGATATTTGGTGTCAGCGAACAAGTCGTACAGCGAATTTGCCGGGTATTTTATGGTAATAAATTTGAACCTTTTCCCATATTTCATTCCAATACACAACTCCTTAAATGAAGTAGTCCAGAACACAGGTAATTTGGTTTCTTGATTGTCAAAGCCTGTTAGTCCTCCATGGATGTTATAACCTTTCTTGTTTGACCAGAGTGCTGAAGAAAACCTGAAAGTTGACTGTAAAAAAATGTATCATTAGCCGTTTTTACATTAGAAGACGGACAAGTCGTCTCAAAATCGTCTTTTAGTCGGACAAATCACCAGATGTGAAAACGTGTCGGACAAAATTTTAGACGAACAAGTCGTCTGAATTTGTTCGACTACTTGTCCGTCTGTGAAGACGATTTTTGAGAAACGATTTGTTCGTCTAGACGACTTGTCCGTCTCTAATGTGAATAGGGCTATTGATTGAGAAACTTTTTGGATATTGAATTAATAGATAATGAAGTCAATTGTTCAAATTAAAGCGTTGAAACTTGAACATCATCAAAAAATTTTTGCCAAAACTATTCATTCAATGTTTTGATAAAGTTTCAATAAGAAAATATATTTCTTGCATATTGTATTACGCTATCATGCATGGTACTAGCAGAGAGATTCAACTTTTAATTTGACTGACCCGTTCCATAGGGTCTAGATGGGGTTTGATGTTAAGTGTTGACGGCCCGTATTCTATAGTGTTTAATGCTGAAACGCTAAAACTTTTGTTGTTTATTCTCATGGAAAAAGACCAAAAATTACTACGAGTATAAAGGACCTCAAACTACTAAATCTTAGACAAAGCGGAAAATAGAAAACTATATAAAAAGCGCTGTCAGAGTGTGTTCACAGGTTCAACAGTTCTTACCAGTGGCGTGACGCTAATTGGTTAGGGTTAATTCAAAAAGTAAGAGCCCGCGATAGTTAGGGCCCAAAGGCCAGAAGACTAGAACTAGTCAACTAGATGTAAAAATCCAGCTGAAGAATTAATGGAAATGCAAAATTAATAATGCTAAAAAATAAAGCCTGCATCGATGACGGTAGTTGATTTTTATTCCATCTCGAATAAAACAAAAGTTATTCTTATTGGTTGCTGATGTGTTGGATACTGTTATTGTCATTGTTATAGACATGGAATTTTCCAGAACATTCTATAAATATTCAATAAAATATAATAAGTCATTCAAACAATGACAATAGTCAACAGGAGCCCCAACACCAAACATACTTAAGGGCACCCTCTTCTTCCGTTACGCCACTGGGTCTTACAGTTCTTTCCCACCGGGCACACGACGTTGTTTCAACGTTGAAATTTGGTAGAAAAAAGGTTGCGACGTCGACAACCTAATATCTACGTTGCTCTGACGTTGTTTTACAAACATTGGTTCAACAGCAGCCAACAGACGTTGAATTAACGTTCATTCACGGTTAAATGTACGACGTCGATTTGTGAACCAATCTCAACGTTGTTTTAACGTGGATTCAACGTTGAATTATGGTTGACGAGATTGGCAACCTAATTTCAACGTTGTTTCAACGTCGAAACAGTAACGTCGATTTAATTTGCATAGTCAACCCTTTTTCAATGTCTATCCAACGTCTGGAAGGTCATTTCCAACGTTGATTCAACGTTGGATAAACGTCATTTTACCCGCTGGGTTATAGCTTTTACATCACTTATCACCTTACCCAGCTGCACCTGTATCTTCCTCTGTGCCTTCATGCACACCAACATATGCGCATATGCATGCAATGCGGGCCGGGTGTGACAATTACAAAATATGCAAAATATGTATTTGATGGTTTTAACGACTGAGTGTGCATTTGCTTCCCTAATACAAAACTTCATTTATTTTTGTATGATCCACATATAACTATAGAAAATACATGCATGCAGAAACCCTCGCCTTGCTGACACCATTGTATTTTCCGAACATGAAGTATCTGAAGTAGTTGTCATGGTAACACGATAATTTTTAAGAATATTCTTACAAATCGCCTAAAAATATCACTTTTAATTACAAAATTATCAATTTCCCAACATATATATGTTAGGTATGTTATTATAATGGCTTATTGACCGGGAGTGAGGTCTGTAGTGTGAAATATCAGACCGAGGTTTTTTAGTCGGGACCGAGCGACGAATGAGCGAGGTCCATGCAAATTAAAAAACAGAGGTCTGATATTTCACAGTACAGACCGAACAAGCGAGGTCAAAAATCGGTTTATTTAAAGGCTTAACTGAATCTGTGAGCATATGCTTTTCGCGCGAATTAAATCGGCTATCGTCTTCACTGGGTAAAAATATACGGTAGGCATGCATGCTCAATCAAAAACAATTTTGTTTTACATATAAAGCACAATTGGAAAATTAAAAAGCAAAAATTTTTTCTGTTTGCAAAGCAAAAAATTTCCCGCCAGATAAACAACATCCGGGACACCGGTCCAGATATGGAAAGTACGGACAACTGTCCGGATATGCGATTTTACGGACCACTTGTCAACCAATCAGAATAGAGAATTTTGAAAAGACATAAAATAATACGTAATATTAACCTGCAAATCAGGCCTATAAATAAATAAATAGGCCTGATACAAATCTTAACAGAAGTCCATGTTTTTACAACCGTATTTCGGTTGTAAACCTGATTGGTTCATGAGACAAAAGATTTTTTAAGCTTTCATTTGATTGGTTGGTGCTAATTACATTATATATTGTCGTTGACATATTTATAATGATCACAACTATAATTAGATTGTTGTTGTCGTTGTGTGAAATTTAAATTTCTCCTGCCACATTTTGATTGGATACTAAATATAAACTTTGCTGTGGGTGAAAAGCGATCGGATTAAGTATTGTGTCAGGCTATTATATGTAAAATAGAGCCTGATCGCAGGTTAACGTAATATAAGCTTCAATTTAAGGTAAAATTCAACCACAAACGCTTCGCAAAACGTTTTAATGTTTCTTTATGTCTCAATAAATTCCATGGTTGCCCAACACCCCCCGGGCGTTTGTCGGACATTCACAACTGTACTTGTTCCCAGGGTCGGGCATTTGCTTTCTGCAGGTTAGCCCCGGGCCAAACCGCAAAAGTCTATTATAAAAAAGATGGCCGATGGAAGAACATTTTGATTAGGATGATATGGAAGAATTTGTGGAACGAATTTGTAAAGATACGATCTCAAAATTCTTTCAAATTATGCAAACATAAATTTTGTTGCTCTTTTCCTTTAAAAAGAGTCTGTCTTGAAAATGTTGTTTTCTATATCTATATCTATATATCTATATCTATATCTATCTATATCTATCTACAATCATGGAAATTAATTCGTAGACTTTTCAAAAATTTCCCAATTTCCCCCCCTCCCCGTTTACAATGTTGGTTTGAGGTCCAATAACCATGGTTTGAACCAACATTGTGGGAGGGGGAGGGGGGAGTTACTATTTCTAGCGATCATGGACGTTTGTATTAACTAAAAATAAAATGGCTTTACAAAATAGTAAGACAAGATGCGTTTAAAAAAAGTCTACGGATATTATTTCCATGATTGTCTAAATTTAAAGACAAAAATTGCGGGGGGGATATTTGGAGATGCGGTGTATAAATCCTCATTAAAGCTCTAAATTAAAGCATGGCAGATTCTACATGTTATATTGAATATTTATGGGTTTACTTCATAAGAGTTCATGGTATTACAGAGAGATAATCAAGAAACTTACATCATACACTGTCTGCTTTTACTTCAACGGGAAATCTCTTTCAAATAATATAATTAGAGTTCGTTAGGTAATAAAGACTCTTTCAAGCATACTGTATACCAAAGGTTTTAACAAAAGATTTAATAAATGATCCACTGCTACATACAATTAGCCTGTATTTACAAAACGTAATTCTGCGTAATGACTGATGTATATAATATTTGAAAGTTAATAATTAAAAGTTAATAACTAACGCATTGTCGTATATTTTATGAGGGGGATTCAATTTTTTTTCCATCAACCGAAATGTTGTAGGTAATAGACCTAACTGATTGCTGTGACCATTTCACTAATCTCTATATATTACATATAGGACAAGTTACTGCATGTTACTACATGTTACTGTTCATGTTACTATAAGTGTACTACATTTTTTACCATATAATTATTTAAATAAGTTCGTCGTATGTTACCACGTGTTACTGTACATGCTACTGCACATGTTACAATCAATTTATTATATTTTACTACATAATTTCAACAAGTTACTACATGTTACTGCTGTTTTCTATAAAAATGGAAGCATGTACTTTATATAAAAAACAGCAGTAACATGTAGTAACATGTTAAAACTTTCAACATGTTGCTATGTGTTACTGCTGTACATTATATAAAGTATACATACTTCAATAACTATAAACAAAACATCAGTAACTTGTTCAAATTATATAGTAAAATATAATATATACATCGTAACATGTGCAGTAACATGTACAGTAACATGTGGTAACATGTGCAGTCCCTATTTAAAATTTGTTTATATCATATCTCACACTCTCCCTTCTATGATAATTATAAAGATTTACTGTTACAACGAAATAAGCCCTACTCTGTTACACAAGGGTTACCGAACGGGGTATGTTGTATTGTGACACCCCCCCCCCCCCACCCACTTCTTAGAAATCTTGTCGGCAAAATGGAGATTATGTAGGAAAAACCGTGACCTGTTGGGAAATTAGTTGGTAAAATAGAGTTGGTTGGTAAGGCGAAGAGGATGTAGAGGAACACCCCCACCTCCCTCGATCCCGCTTTGAGTCGCTATGGTCTCTGTACGTCACTGCTGTTACAGTTGACATCAACAAATAGGACAGTATTACACTTTCCCTAATAAGATATATTCATAGAAAAATTGCATGTCTTGTTATGCAGATTATTATTACCACACAACCTTCAACCGCATAAATGAAATGAAATTTTGGATATAATTTAGCTGTAGCAGCAACGATTATATAAATAAATTGATACGGTTAGATGTATATGTAAACTTCAAATATATTTCAAGGAACTCGAAGGCAAACTTTATGTCATAACGTACTTAACCGATATTGAAACGGTCAAAATTAAACACTTTGAGGTATCCCGTCGCTAAACAGTTTGCCAACACCCCCCTAAAGCTCCCCCCGGCAAAAAGATTACACAGCAACCTTGCACAAGGTA